TTTATTTTGTTTGTTTGATCATTTTTGCTCTTCTTCTTTGAAATGTATATGTGGTTTGTGCGGCGCGCGCGCTGTATTTTTGCGCTCGGCTGGAGCGGCGCGCGCGCTGCATTATAGCGCGGCTGCTGAAGCCAGCGCTGGTGGTCGCGCTAAACCAGCCGAAGCGCGCACGGCAAACAGGATTTTTGCGCACGGGGCATAGCGCGGCTGTTGGAGATGCTCTTAGTCAAGTTGGAATAGTGCCCTAAGTGCAGAGATCACCGTTCCTGGGACTTGATCCTTGAACTGGTCGGCGAGCTCTTTCATCGCGCGCTCAGTAACATCCTCTCCATCTTTGACGATTCCCAGACCACGGCACACAAAAGCCTGGGCCTCCTTAGCAGCAGGGGCGGCCCGGCGGTGCGCTTTGATTCTTGCACTAGACCGCCGAAGAGAGAACCCACCGTTGCGGTCGATGTCCATCCCGGCCAGAGTCTTGCGCCTGTTGGTGAGTGCCCTTGACTGCTGGACAGGAGGCGAAAGCAGCAGCGGCGCTGAGGCCTGCACAAAGAGTGGATCCAAGATGTCCGAGCTATCTTCTTCAGTGGCAGTCGGGACGGACACAACCGCACTCTCCACGGGAGCCTCGAAACCAGGTGGACAAGGCGGCGTAACTACAGACAGAGGTTGGACGAGACGGCACGGTGAACATAGTTGTAGGGCCGCCTGAACGCCGGCGAAGAGCACGTCCATTGGCGGGACATGGCCGCCCTTTGAGCTTGGCATCGCCGGAAGCACCGAAGAGGGAGATTCCGGTGGCGTGAGGTTGCTGCGAGACCGTTGCCTGGCCGCGTGTGGTGAGACCTGACGATGGGGGCTGCGTCCCCGCTCCTGCATTGGGGTAGTAGGCAGCGTGACCAGGCCAGCTTCTACAGCCCCAGGCTGCTGAATGCGACGCCACACCAGGGCACCAGCAGCATCACGATGTAGCCTGGCCAACGGCGTGCTCTCCCCTTGAACAACTGTCACCGGCGTAGGTGCGGCACCCCGGTGACGATCACGACGGTCCTCAGCATGCCTTCCTTCATCCCGTCGCCCCTCCCTGTCGCGCCTCCCCTCCGCAGCGCGCGAGCGACTACGAAAGAAGCGGTCGGACCATGACCCTTGGCGCTCGCCTGGGCGCCCACGCCAATCTGCGTCGTCTCTGTCTCGGCGGCGTCTTTTGTCGTCATCGTCGCGGCGACGGCGGTCGTTGTCGTTGTTGCGCCGTCCACCTTGGTTGCTCTCCCTGATGGCAACCTCTCCATCAATGATCCCATATTGCCAGTCGAACTGGTGCTGGTAGCACGGTGTTGAAGCGTCCTGGCCAAAGTCTTCATGCAGGTCGAGATGCACGATCACCCGGTACGTGAGCCCAAGCCTCCCCTGCTGTTGTGTTGAGGAAGAGCTGGCTGCAGCAGAGTTGAAGCCAGGGAGCGGCTCAGAGCTGGAGACGATGATGTTGCTGCCGGTCGCGTTGCCGCCGATGAGTGTCAGCCACATGACCTTGGGAATCGCTGATGGATTGGCCGTCCAAGCCCAGAGGTTGAGCGACGACGCGTCTTCTTTCTGGGTCGTGGCCGCATCAAAGTAGTGCGTGACGGCCACGCCGCCGATGAGCTTGCCCACGACCTCCTCGTTCCACGCGTTGAGTGGAACATTCTCCAGGCAGAGATGCACATGATTGACCCTAAGTCAGTGAATCTCGACTGCTTTTCGAATCGGTCTTATACTAATTACAACTTGTGTGATATACTCATGTGGGGGAGCTGCCATTCCTTTCCGGACATTCCTAGAAGAAGATCTCCAATACATGCAGGGTCCATTTATCTGAGTGATTTTTTTTCATTTTTTTCTCCCCCTAGCCATGGACCGGCATGACCGTGAGCTTGTGGCGAGGTACGACATGGGAGCGAGCTTGGGACAGGGAGGTCCCGTGGAGGCGGCGACATGGCGGCTATGTCTGGCATGACCAGGGGGTAGACCCGTGGCGGGGTGTCATCTTTCTTACTTGTTGCTAGTTAGGTCCTTCGGTTCTATTTTCGTTTCATTTTTTTGTTAAGTCATTAACAGGCGGAGCCACCAAAAAAGTTAACAGTGGAGCGTTGTCTTCTTTTGTGCACATCACATCGCCGTACATGAAATAATGCATTATGTTGTTAGATATGTGCCCAACGATTTATTGTTTGTGATGAAAGTTTGACGAAACATGACCATTGGTGGCAGAGACACAAGAGAAGAAGGTAGTCGAGCTGCAGTTTGCCTCATTTTCTGCACCGTCACTTTGGTGGTCCCTCAGTCAAGGGCATTGCATTGTCTAGTGTTGGTACTCACATCATCAACGTCTGGGATCCCTTTTACTTTCTATGCCCCAGTCATATCTTCATTCGGTGGTATCTCACCGTGTAGGTGTATATTGTCCGTGTCTTCTTAGTAAACAAGGTTCTTGGTATAGCTTTTGCTCATCATGGTGCAATTTTTTTATTTTTTTTATGAAAATTAAACCAAACATGATTTATATTTAACTTTTCTACTTATTTGTAACTTATTCTTATTGTGATAAATTTTTAGTTACTATAATTTGTCTATTACTGAGTTGACATAGTCAATCACATAATGATGTTGCTAAATATTAATTATTATGTTTATTTGTTATGTAGTTGTAGTATATGTATATACATATATCATTATCATTTAAACTTTGAGTTGTGTTAAATTTAAATTGTAATGTGTAACAAAAGTTTACTGTGAATTATGCTTTGACATTGCACAGACTATGTATTGTATAGATATATCTGTGTGGTATATCATGGTAGAGATATTTAATACACACTGTGCATGTTTTGCCACTTTAAATTTTGTTTTTGCCACTTTAGATTTTGCCAATTTTCCTTATGCCACTCTAGATTTTGACACTTCACTTTTGCCGCTCTTAATTTTTGACAATTATCACAATTGCCATTTTGTGGCAAAAATAAAATAATTTTATTTTATATTTGTCACTCTTAGATTTTGATAATTATCACAATTGCCACTCTGAAAATTTTGCTTTTGCCACGAGAATGGCAATTGTGATAATTGTCAAAAACTAAGAGTGGCAAAAGTGAAATGTCAAAATCTAGAGTGGCATAAGGAAAATTGGCAAAATCTAAAGTGGCAAAAACAAAATTTTCTCGTGTAATAAATATCTCAATGATGTTTTGTAGAATATGATTAGGTAAGTTCAAAGTGTATCTCTTGGATACTAAAAGTGCAATCATGGCTTTAATCGTACTTCAACATTGATGACAACTCGCAGTAGCAAACTTGGGCAGATAAATTTTAGGGTTTGAAATTGCCCTCCTCTGAGCCAAATAAAAAGAAATTGCCCGTGTCTTTGCACAGAACGCGTCATATCCCATCGACGAGAGAACAAGGTGATTCCTATTTGACACTCACTCGTAAGCATCAAAAGGGCGTGGCTTCTTGAAGCACGGCCTCCCGACGCCCAAGTTTGGGCAGGCCCACAGTCGCCTGTTGTTTCTTCTTTTTTCTGCTTCTTTTTCCTTTCCTTTTTTCTTTTCCCTTTTTCTTTCCCTTTTTTTCTAGTTTTTTTTCTATTACGTTTCTTTTCTTTTCCTTTTAATCTTTTCTTTTTTTTCGTGTATTATACAAAGTTCACCGCGTCTTACAAAACGGTTCATCGTATATTAAAACAATGTTCATTCTCCACTACAAAAAGTACATCGTGCATTATAAAAATGTTCATCGTTTATTGAAATTGTTCAACGAATATACAAATGTTCGCTGTATTTTTCAAATTTGTTCTGCATATGTTACCCAATCATTCAATTAGTATTAAAAAAAATTGTTGAACATATATTAGAAAATGCTCAATGTGTATGTGAAAATTGTTCAATGTATGCATTCATATTTGTTTTCGAAAAATTTCACCATATATTAAAAAAAGTTCATCGTGTATATTAAAATGTTCATAGTATATTAAGAAAATGTTCAATTGTATGTTTCATAGTATATGAAAAAAGTTCAACGTATGTTACAAAATGTTCAATGTATATTCTTCAAAATGTTCAAAACAAAAAGCAATCAAAAAAATGATGCAAACAAAATTCACAAATCCATCGTTGTTTCGATGAAGCATTGCCGAGGCGCCGGAGTTGCGTCGAGGCATCGTCGGGTTCTCCGGTGCTGCGATGAAGCATTGCCGGGGCTCCGGGGCTGCATTGGAGCATCGCCGGGCTGGTCGATGTTGCGTCGGAGCATTGTATGCGGCCGATGACGAGGTTGCTGCGACCAGATGAGATTCCGGCGAACGGCAACGCTGCATTGTTTGCCGGGGAGGGCCTGCTGCTTTTAACGACTGGGCGCTACGAGAGAAGAATGCGAAGGAAGAAGATGAAGACACGATGTTGGGAGCCTGCGATCTAACGGCCACCTACGCCCAAATCAGCCGGCTGCGCAGGCTGATCTTTTCTAAGATCATCCGACTTACTCGTAGCAGGCGTCTTTCCCTTTTGGGATTGTGCGAGGCCGAATGGTAAATGACTAACAAACTGGCCCATTTATTCAGGCCCACGTGCTTCGGAACTACTACAACGGCCCAAACATAAGCTCGCCGCCGCACCCCATTCCTACCGTCGGATCTGTATCCAACACTCCATAGGAAAACCTTAAGCCTCAGTACACGCGCGCCTCCGTTCAGTTCGTTCTGGCACTCCCACTAACGCCTACCCGCCGCCCGCCGCCCGCCGCGACAGCAACGCGGCCGCCGCCCCCCGCTCCAGGTGAGCGCACCGCCGTCCCATCCCCCGCGCGCCCGCGCCCACAGCAGCTGTCTCTTCCATCCTCCCCTTTTCCGCCTAGGCATTCCTCCGAACACCTTCCCTGCTCGCGCGCGCATGCTGCCAGACCAACGGCGAGAGCGTCTAACCCGTCGTCGTCTTTGTGCAGGTGGTTTTCTTCAGACAAAGGGGGGCCAAGAAATGCCGCTCGGTGTACGGTTGAAGTGGCGGCAGACGAGCACGGCGAGCCAGCTGAGCGCCAAGAGGGACATGAGCGGCGGCGGGACCGGGATGGCCGGCGGGAAGACGGGGAACAGGAGGGAGGACGCCAGAGGGAAAGGAGGGGCCAGGTTCGGTGGCCGGGGCAATGGGGAGGAGAGAGAAGAGCGCGGTGGGCGTGGGCGCGGAGGGGGTACGGAGCAGAAGAGGTGGCGGAGCGATGCAGGGTCTCAAGGAGACGCCAGGAGGGCTTCGTCTGGGTTTGACAGCAGGAAGAGGAAGGCTGATCGTGACTCGGGGTACGGCGATTACAACGCCGCGTCGTTTTCTAAGCCAAGGATGGACAGAAAGAACCCTTCCGATGGAACCCGTGGCAAGTTTTCTTCTCGAGGAGGCGACGGGTTTAAGCCCCGGAGATCTGAAGAGGGTGAATTTCGGCCGATGAGAAGGAGTAGCAGCAATGGTTCTGGTATGGGCAGAGGGGGTGGCGATAGGTTCAAGCCTCGAGGTATGGAAGATGGTGGCTTTCGTTCAGTGAGAAGGGATAGCAGCAAAGGTTCTGGTATGGGCAGAGGGGAAGGCGAAAGGTTCAAGCCTCGAGGTTCGGAAGATGATGGCTTCCGTTCAATGAGAAGGGATAGCAGCAAGACCTCTGGTGGAAGTAAAGGGGACAAGGGTCGATCAATGGTCTGTATGAATTCACAAGCCTCCAAGTGGAAGAAATTTGACAAAGACATCAGGGTCGATCGTCGAAATGGTGGCGCCACAAATGCCGATTTGGATGAGCATGATGCCGGAAGCAGGAAGTCTGATGATTCACGCCAAAATACTGAAGAGAAGCCCCGTGCGCGTCCTACTCGAGTGCTGGACAAGACTGGGAAGAAACTCAGGGTCTATAAGAAGGATTCAGTTTCTGATTCTGAGGAAATTGCTCCTCCTAAGAAGAGAAAGCGAATGAAACTAGATCCTTATGACACATCAAACAAACGAATTGAGGAGGCAACTCCCAAACAAGATGGTACGAATGCTATCTTACCATTTTTAAAGTGCCGCAGAGGATTCATTTGTGCATATGTACATCCTGTTTCATGTAAACGGCCCCTCAAATCCTGTGATAGTGAAACGGCACCCTCTCATGGATAGTTTCTTGCTCTGCCCCTGAAAGTAGCATTGCATTTCTTATCTGAAGTTCATGCTAACAAAGAAGAAATATTCCATATTATTTAAATGCAGGTATAGAGCTCGGGAAGTCAAGAAAATGTAGTGCAACTTATGTATACTACTCGATATGCATATGCTTAATGATATCCTGTTAAGATAAAAAAAATGCATACACACTAGAACCACTTACAAGTTATAGTTTTATTCAGTCTGTGCCATTCCCTCCTTTTAGAAATATATTTGCATGCTTTGTTATGTAACATTGTTGATCCAAATCTCTTCTTTCAACTGATAACTTCATGAAATTGCTACATATTTTAATTGTTTCCTTAGTAATATGAAAACTTTCCTGAACGTCTTAGAGCATTCACGCCCTTATAATTTATTTACTTATTCGAAACTTTTGGTCTTATGAGGAAAGTGTCTAATTATCAATCTGATGCTTTAATATCTCCATTTTTTTCTAGTTTGCATAACAGTGAAGATTCCAGAAAAGAGCACACCTGAACCTGAAGAGACTGAAATGTCTATAAATGCTAAATTTCGTGACATACAGCCAAGTTCTTCAATCCTTCAATATGTTGAAGATAATGTATACACAATTACCTCCTCATACCTCTTTGACTCTTACGCTCTATGAATGCATGTGTAACATAATTTTACTGCTCTTCGCAGCTACTTGGTCGTAGGCGTCTAATTGACATAAAAAATGCTGGCTACAATACCAAGCTTTCTGCTCCTCTGGATAATGTCCCCTTCTCAACCAGAATTGAGCGTGACCGGATAGAAGACAGTGTAAGAAAGATAACATATAATCAGTGCAGAAAGTTGTATGTTTCTCTTGTTTTAGTCATTTATTTTTGGCTGCTATATGATTTTAGGTTTTACTACCTCTGTTTCAAAATATAAGACGTTTTGGTAGGCCATTTTAGCCTACCAAAACGTCTTGTATTTAGAACGGAGGTAGTATATTTTATGTTTGTTTTTTCTATCCAATATTAGTTGTTGTTGCTCACAAAAAACTATCAACAGGTGTTCAGAAATAAGTTGGACTTTTTTGCCGCTGCAAAGATCCCATCATCTTTCCCTCCTCCTACAATTCCAGAGATAGCATTTGCAGGTAAACATCCTAGGAAGGAATGCACAATATCAGTTCCATCTCCCCTTTCTTATTTATATTGAAAGTTGTCCATCATGTCATTTTGATGTGCTGTGTCTGAATTCAGTATGTCATATATCATTCTACATTTATCCCCTACAATGTTTTGCAAATAGTGGAGCAATTATTTGCATTGAAAATGTATGTTTTGTTGGTTCTGTGGCACACTGAAACATTGATGATAAATTGCACATTGACCTTTTGTAGTCAACTAACCAAGCCTCTACTTTGTTGTATGTTTCAACTTTCAGCCATCTTATGTTCTGCTCAGCTCAACTCTATATCACTGAGCTTCTAAAATGTTTGGTTATGTATTATCAATTGAACTACTGGTGAAAGAGAAACTTCACATCTTGTAGAAGGCTCTTTTTACTAGGACAAATGTCAAATCATAACCTCGTGCTTAATTTAAGTCTTTAAGTAAATATTTACAGATGAAGGGGAGCCTTGGCGCAGTGGTAAAGCTGCTGCCTTGTGACCATGAGGTCACGGGTTCAAGTCCTGGAAACAGCCTCTTACAGAAATGTAGGGAAAGGCTGCGTACTATAGACCCAAAGTGGTCGGACCCTTCCCCGACCCTGCGCAAGCGGGAGCTACATGCACCGGGCTGCCCTTTTTTTTAAGTAAATATTTACAGATAACAGACATGATATTTTTTGTGTCATATATGACATTTAGTGCTGCTCCTTCTCTGGCTGTGTTTGAAACTTTGTATAGGAAATATAACAATTTGCATGTATTCTTTAGATATTTTATGCTAGTTTTGTTGTCAAAACAATGCTTTCTTTGGATTCTGTAAAATCTTTACTGAATCAAATATAGTATTCAACCTATCTATATCACTCCCTGTTTCTTAAAGGGTTTGAAATCTGCCCTAACAACTTCTCTTACTTTACTGAAATTCAAGGGGTATCAAACGTTGGGAAATCATCACTACTTAATGCACTTACAAGACAGTGGGGTATTGTCCGGACATCAGATAAACCAGGACTTACTCAAGTAAGTTGAATAAACAATTAACACTTGCATATCTTCATCTACTTATTTATCAGTGTTCAAACACTTAATTTGTTTATATGTATAACATATTACTTCTGAATCACAGAGTATAAATTTCTTCAAGCTTGCATCAAAGTTATGCCTTGTTGATTTGCCCGGATATGGTTTTGCTTATGCAAAGGATGAAGTTAAAGAGTCTTGGCAGGAGCTTGTAAGTATCCAATCTGCATTATAGCCTTTTCATGAATCATGTCGCCTTGCATGAATTTGGGGTTTCTGACCTCTGGTCTATGATAATTTATTAAAATCCTAAATTTTATTGTAAATACTTGTAGATCACAAAACTATTGTACATTGGTAATGAAATTCCTTGAGGTCTTGCTCTACAACTTGTATGGGCGCTGTGGCTGATTACTTGTTTTAATAACAATGAACCTCTGGTTTGGATATCCAACTGAGCACAATTTCAAATCAATGACGCGTGTTTATGATCACAGAATTAGACAAACTATCTCCTGCCCCCCATGCAGTATTCTTGTTGATTTGAATACATCCATTAGATCTGTTCATCAAAGAAATCTCTTGTTTTATTTTAACTCTTCAAGACATAAGCTTTAACATGTGCCTATTGGTTATGGTTATTCTTGGTTCTTCTTAACTCTGAAATGTACATACTTGTAGATCACATAACTGCTGTACATTGGTAATGAAATTCCTTGGCTCTTGCTCTATAACTTTTATGAGCACTGCTGCTGATTACTTGTTTTAATAACAAGGAACATCTGGTCTGGATGTCCAACTGGGCACAATTTCAAATCAACAATCAAGCAGCTTCACAATGCATGTTAATGATCGCTTAATTAGACGAACTATCTCCTAGTCCCGTTGCAGTATTCTTGATAATTTGAACCATTGGATCTGTCTGTCAAAGAAATCACTTGTCTTCAAGATGTTCCTATTGGTTTTTTTGTTTTTTTTAAAGATCGTGCCTATTGGTTATTGATCTTGGTTCTTACAAGCACTCTGAAATTTGTAGGTGAAGGAGTATGTTTCAAACAGGGTTGGTCTGGATAGAGTGTGCCTTCTTGTGCACACTAAACGTGGAATGAAACCATTGGACTACGAGCTTATAGATCTAATGGAAAGGTTTGCTTAAATCCTTAGAGGCAGTGTTCATATCTACTTCTCTAATGTAGTAATGTTAAGTGGTTTTGCACCTTCACAATCTTAATTGAAGTACATCACTGTCAGTGCAAAGTTAAAAAAAACTGTGCTGTCAGTGCGATCAAATTCATTGATTAGAGTCATGCAGTTTTTTCCTGGAAGACATTGTTTGATCAAAGCATTTGCTTATGTTTGGGGTGATATACATAGTGGTGTTACGTTCGACTTTGTGAATGACATCTCCATATACACTGTGGCAGATACAAGACACCATACCAGATTGTATTAACCAAGACTGATTTGGTTTTCCCTATAGACGTTGCTCGCCGTGCCATGGAAATCCAAGAGGTTCGCTCCCTCCCTATACACACCCTCCCCACCTTCCTCCCATGCGTGTTTTGTTTCATTGCCTGACCTGAACCGAAACGGCTCATTTCCTCAACTGCAGAGCCTGAAGAAGAACAAGTCAGTCGTAAAGCCCGTGGTGAGCTCCTGAACCATCTGATCATCCCCAATCTGTTATACCTACTCCTGAACCATGTCATTCTGATACCGTGATACATGTCTTGTAGATGATGGTGAGCTCCAAGACGGGGGCCGGCATACGCAACCTGAGAGGCGTCCTTGGGAAGCTAGCTCGCTTCATCAAGCCGTAGGAAGGCGATGACCTAGCCTGGAGTGCGTGGTTCAGGGGAAGATAAATGCCCAAGTGGTTCGGCTTTTAGGCCTTGAAGTCCTTGTTAGGGTAGGATATGACGCCATGTTGTATCTAAGATTTGGATCACCGAACCATTTCCCTGTCAGAGAGGAGATTCTATCATTTAGAGGCTACTAGAAGGATACTGTGTGGTGTTTTCTTTTTTTTGCTAAGTGTATTTGCACTGTATTAGCAAAAATCATGTCTTAAATAAACTTCTACGCTGATTGAGGGCAATGAGTACACAAATTTAAGTATGGATGTGTTACAGAACCCAGGGCTTCATAAAGGAAAGCAGGAAAATACAACGTGCCATGTCAGAATTTCCCTTGAAAGCTAGATACATCTTACATGTTAACACCTTCTCAGAGAACAGATTGTGCATTTTTATCATTGAGGCACTGTCTCTCTGACGAAGTAACAAACTTCCATGTCAACGCGCTGTACATATGATGTTGTTCCAGACATAGTATTAGAGCAAGTACAATAAGGTGACATAAGGGACAGTGGAGTTTTGGAACCCGGGTGTATTGGAGGACCTTATTTTAGATAATTTAAAAATCACATTTAAAGTTTCAAAATTCTGAAAAAAAATTCTACATGATCATATCGATTTATATTACACATGTGTAACATGTAAGCTATACAAAAATGACAAAACGGTGATATAAGCATGCACTATTCATCTTTCCAAAATCATGATTTTGTCATTTTTGTGCAACTCACATGGTTACTTATTTCAGCTTCAAAATTTACATGTGTATAATATACATTGATATAAGCATGTTAGTTTATTTTCAGAATTTTTTGAAACTTTAAAAAATCATTTTGCCACTATTCAAAATATAGGGCTCCAGCACCCGTCCTACAAAGTGACGTTTTGAACATAAGGAGATTGTAAGGACTAAAATATTATTCTTTGCTTAGTTGGAGCAGAGAGAAAAGAAACGGACTCTTTTAGTAGCCAATTTCAGCACAAGCCCCAAGAAAATTTGTGAGACTATTCATAGAGTAGTGCACATTTAAAATGTACTATTGTACATGCCAGCTATTAGGTTGGCTGTAAATGACATGGCAACTCTTTCCGATTGTTAGCCCTATTATCAACCATGCTCTAAATTAGTTCAGATAGTCAATTACAGTCAAAGATAGACATAGTATTGTATTAACTATAGGCTATAGCAGGTAAATAGAAGTGTGAGACATATGCATGAATTGCATTGATCTGTTTTGTTAGGTGTCTTTCTTGGCTATCTCAAAGCTAATGTTCTATCCACAAAGGAAGATAAATATGATTTATGAAGGTCCATAGCCTTGAATACGAAGTAAAAAATGGATGATAGTTTGGATAGAAAAAGAAGTTAGGAGTTGTCAAAAAAAAGTTAGGAGAGTATTAGCATGGAGGAGTCGTGCAAAATGTCCATATGATTTGAGCTCAACCATAGAATCTTCTAGATATTGCACGTTGCAGAATCTAACGAAGTACTGGGAAGATCCAACAGTTAGCGACACTTGGATTTGCCTCTAGCATTTGATCGTCTTTGTTATTCAAAGTAATTCGTACATCAAACATTTCTCTCCTCCCCTAGCCATTGTTCAACCGGCTCCTCTCCTGTAACCGGAGCACAATGTGGTAGTGGCTCTGGTTAAGGAAAAGACACAGCACCGGCCATCCAGTCTTATAAAGAGAGGCTGTGCTCTTTGTTGGAATCTGCGATATGTTATCTCTACAAGGCTATATCAAATACCAATTCACGAGTGATTTTTAACTCAGCATTGTGAACTAACAAGAGAAGATAGATCGCAGACTACAGTCTCATCATGAAAGAACTACAAGATGATATGATGCATGAACACAAAACCACAAGGGGCAATCCCCAGACAAACCAAAAGGTTCTCTCCGATATAGATAGCAGCGAAATTGTCAAAACATTAAAGACCTGATCACAAATTGTGCTTGACCAACCAACTTTCAGTACAACCGATTACAGCAAAAACTAGGTAGAATAGTCCAATATCCAGATACGAGTAAAACTAGGGCTGGCGCATATCACGGACAAAGCATTCCCAAACTAGACACGGGGAGCAGGGGCACCAGGAACGGCACCGGCGCCAGCAGGCGCACCACCAGGGGCACCAGGGCCGCCGGCACGGGGCGGGCCACCCTGTCCAGGCCTCGGGCCGTCGTCCTACAATCAAGTTGCCAAAACAAGTCAGTGAAAATTGTAAGAGACACAACTGAGGCAATCAAGAAGAATGATGAAAAACAGACGAGAAACAACAATAGTCATAAGATGTCACATCAGCTAATGATCGGCTAGAAACAGAACGTCTTAGCAGACAAAGTGAAGGAGATGAGTATATAAATGTCCCATCCGTTAATGATCAGCTAAAAACAGGAGGTTTTAGCAGACAAAGTGAAGAGGATGGTTATCAGATGTAAGGGACTGCTTCATCCCATAGGCAATCTCAATCGTTATAGCCAATGGGGCAGACAAGAAGTCCCACAATCTGATGAATTTTAGATCACATGTTGTAAACAGACAAATAAACACTGAAACCGAGTACCAACTGTAGGAAGTATAACAAAATGAGTGCATTGAGGAGGTCATGAATGAAGTAGAGATCAGTCATCACAGATAAGTCTGCAATGCAACCAAGACATGTTTGTTTATGCTTCCGTTGACGCATCCATTGCGACATATACACAGAGAATGCAACGCCAAAAGCAACGCTAGGACAGTACTGAAAATTTTGTTTCACATGTGTGCAATGAGGAAGTGGTGACTGAATTAGGGAACAGTCATCACATATAAGCCTGCAATGCACCAAGACATGTTTATTTATGCTTCCGTTGACGCATCCATTGTGACATATACACAGAGAATGCAACGCCAAAAGCAACACTGGAAGAGTGAAGAACTAATCATGGATCCACTACTCATCATAAACTACAAACTTCTATCTAACAGTTAAAAATATATGGAACAGCATACAAGAAAACTTCAAAACTTTGTTAAAATGAAGAACAGATGGTTGGTTGTTAAAATCATACCCTGCGCCTGAAACGCTGCGGGGGCTCCCGGTTCCTCCTGTTCTCACGGGAGCGGACACGGACAATGTGAGCATGGATGGCACAGGAAACGCAGTGGTGCACCTTGGCATACAGCTTGGGAAGAACATATCCTGGACAAAAGAGAATCGAACGAGGCGTTTTCAGTACACAGTTACTAATGATCAATAATAACCGTCGACTACAAATGCAATAGGCAACAAAAGACTATACCATCATGTACACAAGCCTCCTGCACATCTCTCACAGCAGCCTGCTCCACGATGTTCCTCACCAAGAAACGCTTGATAGCCTTGTCCTGCACAAAATAAGAACTGATTGTTAGATAACAACCATCTATTATCTATAACATGAAACATAATTTGACGAGTGCCAACTGTTGACTAGAGAACAATTTTCAGACTAAAAAGAGCCTAAAACTAGTAATAGTACGTTGTATAAACATCGCTGTTCCGGTGAGATAAAAACACATCTAGACGGCAGATACCTCCTCGAACCTAATACCACCCGCAAACCGCTGGAGCAGCAATATACAGATCGCACCATGGAAATAACACTAGCACAGATCCTCATGCGTGCACTGATTCTTCTACCACTAAGGCAACCTGGTCCTGATCTATCCATTACGAAATAGCATCACATCCAGGAGGGGAACGGAAGAGAAATGATGGCGGCCGTACCTTGGGGCAGCACTTGGCGCAGTTGGAGCAGCGGATGTACTTGACGTGGCCGCGGCCGTGCTTGTTGCGCCCGCCGTTCCTCCGCTTGAACGTCTGCAAAACACGGCGGAGAAGGGTGAGATGGGGGCCGGCGGGGAGCGAGATCCGACGGAGGGGATCGGGGAGCGGCGGGGCTTACCATGGTCGCTTCGCGCCGCTAGGCGGGGGGTGGAGGCGCCCGGGAGAGGAGGGGATGGAGGAGCTCTAGGGTTGCGGCGGCGGCTGCTTGGGAGGGATTGAGGGAATGGTCCGAGCTTTAAGTAGGGCGAACGCTGGGCTTTGTGGACCGATAAGCGCGGCTCTGGGGTCATGGGCCTGAATGTCGTCCCGCTTTTGGAGCCCAGGTTGGGCCGGCATCTAAATGTTATTCGTGTGGCCGGTTATGACTGGCCCATGCTCTTTTGTTTTTCTAACTATACGCTTCCATAACCCTCAAAAAAAAAAACTATACGCTTCCATGTCAAAAAAAAAAAGCAAAAACTGCGCTTCTAGAGTGTCTTTGTTGAAGTCAGACTGGCCGACCATCTAAATTTCACCCTTGTCTCAAAAAAAAAAATCTAAATTTCGCCCTAAAAAACTTTAAAACAAATAAAAATTAGGAGCTTCCGAAAAACAGTCCCTTCCTGCCGAAAAAACAGAGATTTTGCTTCCGGATACAACCATTCACAATACATGATTTTTGGCGGGATGAAACCTCCCAACCAAATTGCCAGTGCCCATCCTCGGCGTCCCTCCGACCACACCGTCTATGCGGGTTCATTCCCGCTCTTCCCTTTTGCTCGCCCCCGCCAAAGAACCCTCTCAAGTTGTTGTCGCGACCACTTCCCACCACTAGGGCCATGCTTGTGGACATCGTTGGACAGTGTGCGGTCTTTCGGTTTCCTTCACGCCATTTCAGCCTCCCCGTGTCGCGACCGGCAGCCCTTGCAAGGCTACCAATCGACTTTCGGAACCTCGGTGCCTCCCTCTAGCCATCACATACTCGACGTCACTAACAGTCGACGCCACACAATGTATGTGGCGACACACGCGGTGTGTTTGACAAAAAGGCCATAGCTGGCCTTTTTCCATTTTGAGTTCCTATTTGAAGATTTCATCCACTTGAGGAGGAGAGAGAAGATGATGCCGACGTTGATCATTCAAGTGGAGGGGAGGAAAGTAGGCATGGTTCTTAATCATTTGTGCATTCATCGCAAATAGGGCAGAAGGGCATACCAAACTGATGATAGGTTGCGTTGTGGGCCTGTTTGGGTATCCAGAGACGCTTTTAGGAAACTTCCTGGAATGTCGGGGGAACTCACTAGTGCAGAAAAGCCTAACTATGAGGTTGCAAAAAAGCCTTGCTGCCGTTGGCATCCGACGCTACCAATATGGTGCCAGTGTTAAAATAGTGGTGCCATTGGATGGCAACGTCAGCGGTATTGTTGGTGTTGATGGCGTGCCACATTTACAACGCCACCACTATAATTTAACCTACCGACGTATCTTTTTATATGCACGCCACCGACATGTTCTGCAGGCAAAAAATATATTTTGCCACCCAATATACGATTTTGCATCTCACGTTGCAGGCTTGCAGCAACACACATGAAACAACAATAAGTTCAGCGAGTGACCAGTCACTTAACGACACAATCTCAAAAACACTAGCTAGCTATTATTCAGTCATGGTCAACATGCACTACAAGTGAACTAATATTTAGTAAGGAGTTTACTTAAGAGACCTAGTACAGGTAGCATTGATGAGTCAGCCACGCACACAGATTTAAATGATGTTGATGACAATCATCATCCTCAAGTTGTGGTGTCGGATGTTCCTGATAGTGAGATGTCGCCCTTGCTGTAAGGCGTAGTACATAGCTAAGGACACCAACAAACTCTACGCTAAGATGAAGACCTTTAATATCATGCCATGAGATGGCTGTCGGCAACATTGGTCCTTGTCAGACGGGTCACGAATGACACCCCAACATATTTATCACGTGGTGGGATTCTGTCGAAGCGGTTGCCAGTCTCATCCTCGTTGAGCCTCATTCTTTGGGCAAAGACTACATCGTCCTCATCATCATCATCATCATTCGTGTTGAGATAGATAACAGAAACCTTGGGTCGTCTTCCTCTTAAGGAAAAGTTGATCAATTCACCCCTAGTAAGACAATTATGGGCAAGGAAATGATCCCATCCATCTCCTCCCATTTGGGTCGTTCTTGGTCCTTTCTCGAGCTCCATAGTGTATGGGCCCCCAAGAGCCTCGAAGATCAGGATGTCTTCGTTGAGCTCACTGAAGTCCAATCTCACATTGCATGGGACAATCTGTATAACACAACACAAAAGCACACATAATACATTAATAGCAAAAAAAGAACACGCATATCATGTTAGAGAAGAGGGTTTGTTACCGCTGAAGAAATAAAACACTGTTGGAAATAGATGTCGAGCTGATCGCCAGTTGCAAGGTTGTTGACGCACCTTGAATCACACTGTTGACATCATGTAATGGCGAGGGTCACCTCGCGATTCTACACAAAATCATTCATTACAAAAGAGTATCACCGGATTCTACAGAAAAAACATTCCTTGGATTCTACACCATTTAAATTGGATTGTACATTAAGCATATCAATCGATGATTCGACACTAAAAAATTCTACACTAATAAAACCAGTTTCTACACTACTAAATCAAACTCTACTAAGTATAACCGAAGTGTATACTAAAATATAGAATCAACACAAAAACTATCATCCAATTCTACACTAAAACATACTCAACACGAAAAAAAGTTCTACACCAAGTATAAAATCGGATTGTACAATACTAAATCGAATTCTACAAAGTATAATCAGATTCTATACTACTATATATAATTATACCCTACTAATATTCTACACAAATCCATGGCGTCCGCGGACGAGGGAGGTGCGAGGGGAGGGGGTCTCACCTGCTACTCGGGAGGTGACCCTCGCCACCAGTGACGAGCAGCGAGGTCCAACGGAGCGACAAGCAGGTCCAGAGGTGGCGGCGGCGGCACTGGTCAAGAGAGAGTGAAAAATGATAGAATTGCTAACTAGATTTCTTTACTTAGAGGGGAGTAGTGATAGGAGATGGAACGGTGTTGGCGTGTGCCTAACAGGCCATGCCATAGCAAAGTAGAACCCAAAGACGAAAAAACAGATAACACATAATGGCGTGTGAAAAAACTCCAACACCAGCACTAGCGTACAGTGACGATGTACCAAATTGTTCAATGACAACATCATTAAAAAAATAATGTTGGCGTTGCTTGGAAATGGCGCGCCACCAACTGAAGTTGTGGCTAATTATTTCTCTACAAAGTGACTCTTTTTGTGGACTGTAAGTTTGTAACTATCGTTGAAGGTCAAGATTATTACTTCAACAAAAAGAGTGATGCATCTGCACTCATTTACATCTATACCAATATAAAAATACCCAAAGGGGCAGATCCAATTAATCTCGGCCATCAGATCATGCCAGTCCAATGATCTAGACTGCTTCAATGTCAGGCGTTCAACACGTTTAGTGTGCAGTTAATTTCATGCCAAATATAGTGTTAATCACATAATAACACGTAAATAATATCCTACTTAATATCCGCATGCACTTAATATACTTTCAAATTAACGTGCATTGCACGTACACATTGACTAGTGATGATTAGAGCCCGATAGAAGGCATGTCATATCCTCTACCCCATGCTAAGATAATACGTACATTTCACGGAGTGCATCAAAAGATCGAAGACCAGCAAAACCATGAGCATCTCCAAGATGAACTTATGGAGCACATGTGGGAACTTCGTGGGCAAGAGTTCATTCATGCACCATCGTGTGTTCATCATATTTTATTTAGTTTTCTTTTGCTTCATTTCTACAAAATATCGTGTTTGAATTTTAATTAAAAAATGGAAACAATGAATTTAAAATGTTGTTGAAATGTGTGGTTCAATCATCGCGGTGTGATTTTAAATGTAGTTGAACTTGGTTTTATACTCTCTTTTTTAGAAACCAGACTTATACTTTTATGTGTGCCAAATGATGTAAAAAATAGCATATTTTTGGGGAGTTAAGTTTGGGATCCGCTAGTTGTGAGTTTCTCAGTACCCTATTTTTTTAGAAATGCTCACATAAGTTGCTTTTGGGGGTTGCATTTTGGAGATGGGTTAAAGATGCTCTCAAGCCACGGTACACAATCGTGTATTTTGGTTGCATGCATTTAGACAGCCGAGCATGACAGAGATCTTGTTGGCTTGAGTGCACGAGGAATGTTGTAGTTACCTAGAAACAAGACTAAGTTTTCCCAACAACATAAGGAGGTTGGGATTTGTGATATTATCTGATAGTCATCTCGGTTTAGCATTTCATCAAACATGTGGGGACGATGCCCATAATGACCTTGTTGTGGTCTGGAGCATTGGTGAGCCCGATAATCGACTTTTGCCACTTCACCACCTCTTTGAACCCCTTCTAGCCACCATGGTTTGACGCATCTCTGGCCGACCACCATGTGATGCCTGTGGCACACAACATGTTTGGCCAAATGTCCATAGTTTTTTTTGCTTTACTTCTATTTTTCTTGCGAAATTCCAATTGAAGATTTCATTCATTTAATGTTGTGTGGTAATTGACAAATGGCAAAGCTTGTCCAAGTTTTTATTTAATGAGTCGTCGCCATTTGAGGAGTAAAAAAGATGATGCCTTTGAGATGGCGTTGGGGTTGATCACTCAAGGGCTAGGTGAGGGAAAGTACACATGGTTCTCAAAATAATACCATACCAAACCTAATAGAGTGTCAGGACCCCGACTCGATGACACATCGATCTAGCCTGTAACACCTCATATCACTTTGCGGCCTCACGCACGGTATCCCCACGGGTGTCGCCTTACCTTTGCCCGGGACCGTTTGCGCCTTTTGGCTCACGTATATGATAGTGTCGCTAGCATCCATATGTTAAGGAGCCCGGGCTGACATGACTAGTTGTAAACCCAAAGTGGCACAGACTTACAGGGACAGGCATCCATGACCCAGCTTCGAACGTGTCGGTCATCAGCAAGAGGGTCCGGGCTGTAGCACTGGGCTAGCAGGACTCCGGTAAACCGGGCTGTAGCGGGCTAACAGGACTCC